TATCTCGAACTATCTACTTCTTTTTGTAAGGTCTGATGGCGTAGTGGGTTAAAGCATACTAGTTATGCCAGCTACTGGAAGGTAGTTGTGCTTTCTGGGTTCGAGTCCCACTGGTGGGTGTTGTCCAAAGATTGTTTATCTTCACTTGTGGTTTATGCAAGTATAGGCTTATAAGCTGGACACGAGTTCTCTCACATTGACAGTGGCTTGACGAAAATTGCAGACTGACCCCTCACTCATCTGGTGCCTTCGGGAGGTAGAGATGTTTGAGATATATATATCTCGAACTATCTACTTCTTTTTGTAAGGTCTGATGGCGTAGTGGGTTAAAGCATACTAGTTATGCCAGCTACTGGAAGGTAGTTGTGCTTTCTGGGTTCGAGTCCCACTGGTGGGTGTTGTCCAAAGATTGTTTATCTTCACTTGTGGTTTATGCAAGTATAGGCTTATAAGCTGGACACGAGTTCTCTCACATTGACAGTGGCTTGACGAAAATTGCAGACTGACCCCTCACTCATCTGGTGCCTTCGGGAGGTAGAGATGTTTGAGATATATATATCTCGAACTATCTACTTCTTTTTGTAAGGTCTGATGGCGTAGTGGGTTAAAGCATACTAGTTATGCCAGCTACTGGAAGGTAGTTGTGCTTTCTGGGTTCGAGTCCCACTGGTGGGTGTTGTCCAAAGATTGTTTATCTTCACTTGTGGTTTATGCAAGTATAGGCTTATAAGCTGGACACGAGTTCTCTCACATTGACAGTGGCTTGACGAAAATTGCAGACTGACCCCTCACTCATCTGGTGCCTTCGGGAGGTAGAGATGTTTGAGATATATATATCTCGAACTATCTACTTCTTTTTGTAAGGTCTGATGGCGTAGTGGGTTAAAGCATACTAGTTATGCCAGCTACTGGAAGGTAGTTGTGCTTTCTGGGTTCGAGTCCCACTGGTGGGTGTTGTCCAAAGATTGTTTATCTTCACTTGTGGTTTATGCAAGTATAGGCTTATAAGCTGGACACGAGTTCTCTCACATTGACAGTGGCTTGACGAAAATTGCAGACTGACCCCTCACTCATCTGGTGCCTTCGGGAGGTAGAGATGTTTGAGATATATATATCTCGAACTATCTACTTCTTTTTGTAAGGTCTGATGGCGTAGTGGGTTAAAGCATACTAGTTATGCCAGCTACTGGAAGGTAGTTGTGCTTTCTGGGTTCGAGTCCCACTGGTGGGTGTTGTCCAAAGATTGTTTATCTTCACTTGTGGTTTATGCAAGTATAGGCTTATAAGCTGGACACGAGTTCTCTCACATTGACAGTGGCTTGACGAAAATTGCAGACTGACCCCTCACTCATCTGGTGCCTTCGGGAGGTAGAGATGTTTGAGATATATATATCTCGAACTATCTACTTCTTTTTGTAAGGTCTGATGGCGTAGTGGGTTAAAGCATACTAGTTATGCCAGCTACTGGAAGGTAGTTGTGCTTTCTGGGTTCGAGTCCCACTGGTGGGTGTTGTCCAAAGATTGTTTATCTTCACTTGTGGTTTATGCAAGTATAGGCTTATAAGCTGGACACGAGTTCTCTCACATTGACAGTGGCTTGACGAAAATTGCAGACTGACCCCTCACTCATCTGGTGCCTTCGGGAGGTAGAGATGTTTGAGATATATATATCTCGAACTATCTACTTCTTTTTGTAAGGTCTGATGGCGTAGTGGGTTAAAGCATACTAGTTATGCCAGCTACTGGAAGGTAGTTGTGCTTTCTGGGTTCGAGTCCCACTGGTGGGTGTTGTCCAAAGATTGTTTATCTTCACTTGTGGTTTATGCAAGTATAGGCTTATAAGCTGGACACGAGTTCTCTCACATTGACAGTGGCTTGACGAAAATTGCAGACTGACCCCTCACTCATCTGGTGCCTTCGGGAGGTAGAGATGTTTGAGATATATATATCTCGAACTATCTACTTCTTTTTGTAAGGTCTGATGGCGTAGTGGGTTAAAGCATACTAGTTATGCCAGCTACTGGAAGGTAGTTGTGCTTTCTGGGTTCGAGTCCCACTGGTGGGTGTTGTCCAAAGATTGTTTATCTTCACTTGTGGTTTATGCAAGTATAGGCTTATAAGCTGGACACGAGTTCTCTCACATTGACAGTGGCTTGACGAAAATTGCAGACTGACCCCTCACTCATCTGGTGCCTTCGGGAGGTAGAGATGTTTGAGATATATATATCTCGAACTATCTACTTCTTTTTGTAAGGTCTGATGGCGTAGTGGGTTAAAGCATACTAGTTATGCCAGCTACTGGAAGGTAGTTGTGCTTTCTGGGTTCGAGTCCCACTGGTGGGTGTTGTCCAAAGATTGTTTATCTTCACTTGTGGTTTATGCAAGTATAGGCTTATAAGCTGGACACGAGTTCTCTCACATTGACAGTGGCTTGACGAAAATTGCAGACTGACCCCTCACTCATCTGGTGCCTTCGGGAGGTAGAGATGTTTGAGATATATATATCTCGAACTATCTACTTCTTTTTGTAAGGTCTGATGGCGTAGTGGGTTAAAGCATACTAGTTATGCCAGCTACTGGAAGGTAGTTGTGCTTTCTGGGTTCGAGTCCCACTGGTGGGTGTTGTCCAAAGATTGTTTATCTTCACTTGTGGTTTATGCAAGTATAGGCTTATAAGCTGGACACGAGTTCTCTCACATTGACAGTGGCTTGACGAAAATTGCAGACTGACCCCTCACTCATCTGGTGCCTTCGGGAGGTAGAGATGTTTGAGATATATATATCTCGAACTATCTACTTCTTTTTGTAAGGTCTGATGGCGTAGTGGGTTAAAGCATACTAGTTATGCCAGCTACTGGAAGGTAGTTGTGCTTTCTGGGTTCGAGTCCCACTGGTGGGTGTTGTCCAAAGATTGTTATATATATATATATATATATATATATATATATATATATATATATATATATATATATATATATATATATATATATATATATAATATGCATGCAATTGACGATCACTAAACACTGATCATTTGTATGCGGAAAATCCACAGAGAAATGGGAAAGAGAGATGAACGTTTTGGCCGATCTGGGCCTTTGTCAACACCTGACTCAGTCAGGTGTTGTCAGGTGAGAACACCTGACTGACAAGTCAGGTGTTCTCACCTGACGTTGACAAAGGGTGTTGATAAAGGCCCAGATCGGCCGAAACGTTCATCTCTCTTTCCCATTTCTCTGTGGATTTTCCGCATATATATATTAAACCAACTATTTTGAAAACATGAGAACATATAGACTGTATACTGTGTTTCGATCCGAACCCGGGATCCTCTTCAGCAGTGAGCAAGAATGATGACTGATGCTGCTTTTATGGCATCAAGTCAGGTGTCCTGGGCAGAGGTGTATACAGTAGGTAATAACTAGGTATGCATTGGGTAATAACCTCCTTGTTACATAATCTCTCAACAGCTCTGGTAACCACTGCCCTGAGGAGATATTACAATTTGGATTATTGTTCATAAGAGTAGATTGTATTATTTTTCTTTTTAGGCCACAGTGTTGGGTATAAATTATACAAGAATTATCCCATATAATTTTGTGATCAGTCTCACATGTTTATATAAAGCTGAGCTTTCTTGCCCATATCTAACAGACCACTGGTGTTCAGTTATGCGAGTTTTTAGATTCCTGCCTGTTTGGCCATAATAAACTTTATTACAGCACAATTTATTATCACCACAAGGAATCCTATAAACTCTAACCCACTCAGCTCTATCTATCAGGGAGCCGGTCGGCCGAGCGGACAGCATGCTGGACTTGTGATCCTGTGGTCCCGGGTTCGATCCCGGGCGCCGGCGAGAAACAATGGGCAGAGTTTCTTTCACCCTATGCCCCCTGTTACCTAGCAGTAAAATAGGTACCTGGGAGTTAGTCAGCTGTCCCGGGCTGCTTCCTGGGGGTGGAGGCCTGGTCGAGGACCGGGCCGCGGGGACACTAAAGCCCCGAAATCATCTCAAGATAACCTCAAGATCTTTCTTCTGATAAATGTTTAATAATTCATTTCCATCTTTATTTCGGTAACTGAAAAGGAATAATTTTTTTCCCATTCGGCTGATGTTCTTAGCGATGTACTCTAAGTTGGAGCTACGTACATGGAATGACCAAGCTGTTCGTAATAGTAATCTCCTGCTGCCTGGATCGAATATATCATCGAATATGCAGTTATATAACCAGTGATGAATATTTGTCAGTCTGGTAGTAATTTCCTTTGGCAACTTTTAAGGCTTCACCCAGGAACCAGCTGGGGTATACTTGTACTACTTTATTGAGTTGAGTGGATAATTTATTAATTTCAGTGTTTAACCACTGAGGATTACAGATTCGCAATGCTCTTACGAAAAGACCCGATGCAACACTACTTTTTACATTTTTTGCATGATTGTTGAAGTAATGTTGATAGTTAACTGTCTCCATTACTTCAGCAATCTTGTGTTCATACTGGTGGGAGACCGATGATGGGAGCCGGTCGGCTGAGTGGACAGCACACTGGACTTGTGATCTTGTGGTCCCGGGTTCGATCCCAGGCGCCGGCGAGAAACAATGGGCAGAGTTTCTTTCACCCTATGCCCCTGTTACCTAGCAGTAAAATAGGTACCTGGATGTTAGACAGCTGTCACGGGCTGCTTCCTGGGGGTGGAGGCCTGGTCGAGGACCGGGTTGCAGGTACACTAAAAAAATGCCCTGAAGTCATCTCAAGATAATCTCAAGAAGATACTGTACTTAGTTGTATGGGATTATAAGAGTGATCATTAATTAGCCAAGGAAGAAGAATGTTTATATTAAGAAATTTTTCTGTAATCAAATGGGTAAAACAATATTCAAAATCTCGTTTTTACTCTCTCTAATAGTACTGTATATTTAGGCTGTAATAGCAAACTCTTTAACATGTAACAAATAACAGTGGCTCAATCATGTTACCATTCTGCTTTTTTTTAACAGGCAGCGAAATGTCGAGCGAGGTGTCTAGTGGGTGCAGCGTGAGATCACGCCCCACAAGCCAGACCAGCACCGACACGCTCACCTGTGATGACCTCCCAATGGCTGGCGATGCACCCGACATGCCCCCACCATCTACCATCCCTCCCTCTGCTGGCCCTTCATCTACAGGTCCCTATCACCATCCACATCTTCATCATCACCACCATCATCACCACCATCACCTACATCACAGTCATCACCCACACCCTGCGAGGAGGGCACGCACACCACGTCACCCACATCCATCTCTACGAACCCCAGACCCACCTAGAGAGTCACCTGCCTTAGAGTCCCCTATTGAACCCTTCTTGGATTCTGCATTTGTAAGTGACTGTGATGCATGTGATCCTGTTGAGCACCATTCATCTGAAGAAGAGCTGGAAACACTCACAGGTTCTTGGTCTCGGGAAACAGGGCCCCCAGAGAAGCGAAAATGGTCACAAGTAGCCAGGCTCTCTCTAACAGACTCAGGTAAACATATAATCATAACGTGTATATTTAAGATCAAGAATACTTTTTTTCTGGCATTTCACAGTAACATTGCATTAGTTAACAAAATTAGGAACTGCTTTTAGGCTGTTTTCTAGGAGAGGACTGTTATAAGTACAGTATTGTCTGATAAAAATTAACTAATATGATAGAATATTACTTATGTAGTACAAATACAGTATATTTTCAGATTTTAAACCACCACAGAATCCTATTTTCAACTGTATCATGAACAAATACTGGTACAGTAGTTTGTATTAAGATTTCATTTTCTGTTTATACATTTTTTTTATTTTTTTTATTACTTAAATTTTCAGGAAGCAGTGACGAGGAAGTATGCGTATTGACCACTGGGTCACGCCCACCCGTCCAGTTCAGAACCTCCCCACCCCTTGAGGCTCACAAGCCCTTACGCTCTGTCTCTCCACCCACCAAGATGCTCAGCCTAGCGAGCAGTGGGAGGGAGGGCTTATTGTCTTCAGGTGGAGCAGGAGAGACTAGTGGGTCACCAGGGGGTGCTGGTTGTAGTGAGGGTGGGACTCCCAGGGTGGAGGGGGGCGCTAGGGCAGCATCCCCTCGCAAGAGACACAGGCACACGCCTCGCCCTCACCAGATGCACCGCCCATGTCTAGACTTTGAGAAAATGCAACAGGTAATCATCAATACTAAACTTGGTTAAATCTGTTGTGATTACATGTTAAAAGATAATTTTCCTGATTGTGTGTGTTTACTCTGGTATCCAGTGAAGAACATGCATGCAGTTTAATAATTTTTTAGCTTTATTTTGAGAAAACTTGGCTTTTTATATTCAATACATACCGGTATATGATTTTTATATGTGATAGGAAAATGTTTAGTTACATCTGATTTAAAATTTGGAAAAATAAAAATAGGCATCTGTGCTTTCAAAGAAAATTCACACAAAAAATTTGTGGCTTATCAATGAAAATGTATTACATAGGAATGCTGTAATAAAATAGGACACTTCTGAGGAACTCATTTTTGTCACAATAGAAAGTATAAATTCAGTCATCAAAATTATGGCAGCATGTTATTGCAACATACTGTACAGTATTGTATTTTGGATCGAATATATCATCGAATATGCAGTCATATAACCAGTGATGAATATTTGTTCGTAAGTTAGTTGATTGATTAATGACATTCTAGGCTATATCTGCCTATAGGTACTCCCATAAATGTAAATATTTTCGACATTGATCGTAAAACATAAGTCTGATAACTGTACAGTATTAACAACTTAGATAACCACCAGGTTTTAGGATGTTCACTCTGCTCTGTAATATGTGTGTGTGTTATGGCCGAAGTGAACACGTGTGAGTTAATTCTCTTGTACTCATCTAGTGATATAACATAAATTTTGTTTTTCCTTGAAATGAAATGCACAAAATTTATGTTTATTTCAGTGTTTAGTTAGGTACTGGTATATTAAAATACTTTCCATTATTGTTTGCTTGAACCGCTGATGATGTGTTCAAGAACGTGTGAGTGCTCAGTCTGTGTGTGTGTAATTACCTAAGTGTAGTTACAGGATGAGAACTCCGCTTGTGGTGTCCCGTTTTCCCAGCACTCTTTGTCATATAATTCTTTGAAAGTACAGTAATGCTGGTTTTGGCCTCCACCACCTTTTCACCTAACTTGTTCCAACCGTCTACCACTCTATTTACAAAAGTGAATTTTCTTATATTACTTTGGCAACTTTGTTTAGTTAGTTTAAATCTATGACTTCTTGTTCTCGAAGTTCCAGGTCTCAGGAAGTCTTCCCTATCAATTTTATTGGTTCCTGTTACTATCTTGTACAGTTCGTAGTGATCATAGTGCCTCTTTTTCTTCTATCTTCTAGTTGTGGCATATTAATGCCTCTAACCTCGCCTCGTAGCTCTTGTTCTTCAGTTCTGGGAGCCACTCAGTGAGCACATGTGTGTGTGTAATTTCTAAGTGTAATTACTTAAGTGTAGTTATAAGATAAGAGCTATGCTCATGGTGTCTTGTCTTTTCAATAATCTTTGTCATATGCTGCTTTGAAAATATCTATGGTTTTGGCATCCACCACTTTCTCATTTGATCTAACGTTCTACAAATCTGTTCGCAAAAAGAGAACTTTTATATATTTTTTCAGCACCTTTGATCCCTTAACTTGAACTTATGGCCTCATGTTCTTGAAGCTGCAGGTTTAAAAAATGTACTTGACTATTTTATTGATTTTTGTTATTATCTTATATGTAGTGATCATATCACATCTGTATTCCAGCTTTAGCATCTTTAACACTTCTAGCCTCTCCTTTGTAGCTATTGTTTTCATTTCTTGAAGCCATTTAGTAGCATGTCTTTGCACCCTTTGCAAGATACAACCATCATAACCATAACTGGAATATGCAGTGGTTGTATGATGCAAGGGCATCATACAACCACTGCATAATCCAGTTAAGGTCTCATGAAAGTTGTGATTAATTTCTTTAGTACTGTATTTCTCCATCCATGTATTTAAATGTGGGTCTGAAGTTGGAAAGTATAGCATATGCTTCTTGCATAATGTTTTTTATGTGGTCTTTAAGTGACAGTTTACTATCCAGAGCCACCCTTAGATCTCTTTCTTTGTCTCTGTCCAAGTTCTTTAATGTCTTTTCACATACAGCGGAACCACGGTTTACGAATGCCCCACTTTACAAATTTTTCAGTTTACAAGCTCAATTTCCTTGCAAAATTCAGCTTAGTTTACTGGCCTTGCCTCACTTGACGAGTTTGTTGATACACGTGTGGGTCGACCGAGCACGTGGTTCCTGGTGGCAAGGGCGAGGCATGCTTCAGTTTACCAGTGCCTCCCGCCTAGCGATGATCGCACTTGAATTCTTTGTAAAGAATTTAATTTTTGTCTGTATTTTGGCTTCTGAACATACCATAAAAGTAATTATTATATATCATGTCATGGGTCCCAAGAAAGTCAGTGGTAAGGTTCAACCTATGAAAACAAATCTGAGAATGAGGATAGAGGAAACACAAGAGATCATTCATAGTGAGACAATGTGATGTCTCACTACAGACAAGTGTTAAAACGTAGGCAAAAACAAGTGTTTATAGACAGATTCTTAGTAAGACAAGCAAGCAGTGAGCCACAATCAGGTCCTAGTGGTATGCCTGCAAAACGTAAGAGAGAGAGAGAGAGAGTACCCTAGAAATGTCATTACAGCCTGATGTTATAATGGAAGGGGGACTTCCTTTCCAAATACTAATACCTCTCCCCCCCCCTCTCACCATCTTCCATACGCCAACAAGAGTCATCAATAAAGGTAAGATATAACTTGTACATAATGTAGTACAAAATATTTGTAGTATTATGTATGAAATGTATTTTTAAGTTAATATTTTTGGGAGTGTGGAATGGATTAATTAAATTTACATTATTTCTTATGGGAAAATTCATTTCGGTTTACGAATTTTTAGTTTACGAACCAGCTCTGGGAACAGATTAAATTCATAAACAAAGGTACCACTGTACTGTAATTTGTAAGTTGTGTCCTATTTTCTCCTGTTCCACATTCCATAATGTGGCATTTATTCACATTATATTCTATCTGCCAAGTGTCGCTCCATATGCTTATTATGCCCAGGTTTTATTGAAGGGCATAACTATCATCGAAGTTTCTTATCTTTTCTAGTAGCTTGGCATCTTCAGCAAACATGTTCATATAATTCTGTATTTCTTCTGGTATATCGTTCATATAGACAATGTAACGTTTGTGTGGTGCGCATATCTCAAGAAGCACATCAATAAACTGAAAAGATTCAAAGATATGCAAATGAATGGCTTCTGGAACTGAAAAACAGGAGCTTAAAGGAGAGGCTAAAGGTGTTAAATATCCCAAAGTTAGAAGATAGAAGAAAAAAAAGAGGCAATGTAATCACTACTCACAAAGTAGCAACAGGAATTGACAAAATTAACAAAGACGAATTTTTGAAACCTGCAACTTCAAGAACAAGAGGTCATAGATTCATTCTAAGAAAACCATAGCTGCCCCCCCCCCAAAAAAAAATTAGAACGTTCTCTTTTTGCAAAAAGAGTGGTAGACAGTTGGAACAAGTGAGAAGGTAGTCGAGGCCAAAACCATCAGTACAGTACTTTCAAATCGTCATATGAAAAGGAGTACTGGGAAGACGGGACACCACGAGTGTAACTCTCACCTTTTAACTACACTTAAGTAATTACCTGTGATATATATATATATATATATATACTGTATTATATATATATATATATATATATATATATATATATATATATAAATATATATATATATGTCGTACCTAGTAGCCAGAACGCACTTCCATGCCTACTATTCAAGGCCCGATTTGCTTAATAAGCCAAGTTTTCATGAATTAATATATTTTCTCTAATTTTTTTCTTATGAAATTATAAAGCTACCCATTTCATTGCGTATGAGGTCAATTTTTTTTTATTGGAGTTAAAATTAATGTAGATATATGACCGAACCTAACCAACCCTACCTAACCTAACCTAACCTATCTTTATAGGTTAGGTTAGGTTAGGTAGCCGAAAACGTTAGGTTAGGTTAGGTTAGGTAGGTTAGGTAGTCGAAAAACAATTAATTCATGAAAACTTGGCTTATTAGGCAAATCGGGTCTTGAATAGTAGGCATAGAAGTGCGTTCTGGCTGCTAGGTACGACATATATATAAATATGATGCTTTCAGACATTTTCTCTTGTTGATTGAGTTTGTCCTTATATATATATATATATATATATATATATATATATATATATATATATATATATATATATATATATATATATATATATATATATATATATATATATATATATATATATATATGTCGTACCTAGTAGCCAGAACGCACTTCTCAGCCTACTATGCAAGGCCCGATTTGCCTAATAAGCCAAGTTTTCATGAATTAATGTTTTTTCGACGACCTAACCTACCTAACCTAACCTAACCTAACTTTTTTGGCTACCTAACCTAACCTAACCTATAAAGATAGGTTAGGTTAGGTTAGGTAGGGTTGGTTAGGTTCGGTCATATATCTATGTTAATTTTAACTCCAATAAAAAAAAATTGACCTCATACATAATGAAATGAGTAGCTCTATCATTTCATAAGAAAAAAAAAATATAGAAAGTATATTAATTCAGGAAGAATTGGCTTATTAGGCAAATCGGGCCTTGCATATTAGGCTGAGAAGTGCGTTCTGGCTACTAGGTACGACACATATATATATATATATATATATATATATATATATATATGCAGAATAACCACATATGAAAAATAGAAAATGCTTAACGCGTTTTCGGCTAATTCGCCTTCATCAGAGCAAAGTAGAATCAAAAATTGATTCTACTTTGCTCTGATGAAGGCGAATTAGCCGAAAACGCGTTAAGCATTTTCTATTTTTCATATGTGGTTATTCTGCATACTTGGATCAGTGTTTTTGTGATCATTGTTGCATATATATATATATATATATATATATATATATATATATATATATATATATATATATATATATATATATATATATATATATGTCGTACCTAGTAGCCAGAACGCACTTCTCAGCCTACTATACAAGGCCCGATTTGCCTAATAAGCCAAG